AAAAAAAGAAATGAGTAGGTTGAGTTTCTAACTGTAGGTTTGCTAAAGCAAAGCAAGGATCCAGAGAACAGAAGCTTTGTGTCATATAAACAGCAGTAATAAAATTCTTTACCCTTGGGTAGATAGCTTTATTCTTAATCCAAGTATCCACTAGTGACAAATGAGTTTCTGAAATGCTCACACCATAAACTCTCAGCAAATTCTGGCTTTCATCTTTGCCTCTCCTATATTGTTTTACTGAAACCAGTGACTTTATTGTAAGGGTGGTTCACTTTTCCACTTTCCCAAATGGGAAGATCGTTGCTTCTCTCTCTGTCTATCCATTTCTGTCTCTGTCTGTCTCTCTCTTTAAGGCAATACCTTGTTCACCTATCACTGGGGATATCCTGTTCCTCCAAGAGTGCAGTTAGCCTTTTCATTGCTTTAATCTCAAGCCCAAAATCATATAAAACTAAGTCTGCATCCTGTTCCAACCTGTTCCCAATAATGGTGCAAATTTGGCTGAGTAGTTTAAAACCTGTCAATTCCAGGTGCCCAATTTGAAACATGGATCTGTAGACAAAATGCAGAACACTGTTAAGTTAATGTTTGACATTGCAGTGAAAAATGGCACTGTACCTCTACAGTTCACTGCACTGCTCAACTCCCTGATTGGGGCGGGGGCCTGCACATGGTAGTATAGATCCCAGGATCCTTTTCTCCACCACACACACATTTCTCTCACTAAAAGTGAATGTTTTCTCTTTATTAGCTTGTTCCCTGCAGCTTTTCAGACAAAGTCTTGCTATGGCTTTTTTTTTTTGATATACTGGATTCCAGTCTAAAATACCTCATGGTGTAACATCAACAATTCTCTATTTATTCACTGGTTTGTGTGCAGAGGATCCACTATTTAGTTTCTAGACTAAATAATTGACTATCAGCTAGTCATTTCATAAGCCCAGCAAACCTACAACATTACTATGTCACCCACACTTAGAGAATCAGAGTCAAGCTGGAAGAAGCCCCAGAATATCATGTGTTCTGCCCACCACAGCTGGATGACTGATTCTCTGATTTGTGTATTAGTAAAAGACATTGAGGATCCCATAAAGAATAATCCACAGGACTGAGGTGCACTCAGCACATATCTGGTATGCTTGAGGTCCTAGGTTCAATCCTTAGAATAGAGAGTGGGTGGAGGAAGGGGGGAGGGAGGAAGATAGCTGGGAGGAGAGAGGGAAGGAGAAAGAAACAGAGAAAGACAGAGAGAAGCAATAGAGAGAGATAGAGAGACAGAGCTATTCCATTTTGGATAGTTTATATAGATACCTGCACTCAAGTAGGTGGAGTATAACTCCCATTTTTTCCTTTATTGTCAAAGACCTGAGACTCAAATTCAGTACCTGATACTTTAGCTCATTGGCTGGTGCTTTACCAATTGAGCCACTCCTCCAAACCCATAACTCCCCATTTTTAAAGAATGGCTGTGCAGGATGGCTTCCATCTAAAGAATAAATAATTTGGAAGTTCTTGGGAGAAGAGTAAAGACAACTGTTAGGCAAAGGAGATGAACACTAATAAGATTCACATAACAAATCTGGTGCTAATTTATCTTGATAGTTTGTAGTCTTGCTCTAAAGTGATAAGACTTTCTCTTCCCCACAAAATATGACCTCAGTTTAATCTGGAAAAAGATCAGACAAATCCAAACTGAATAGATTAACAAACATTTGACCAGTACTCCTCAAAATTATTGAGATCAATAAAAAATTAGGCAAGTCTAAACTGATCACAGAAAAGAGGAACCTGAAGTCACAGGATCAAGTGGACTGTATGATCCTGGATGGACTATCTAGAAATAGTGGTTCACTCTTTATGACAGATATATAACACTGATGAGAGGTGTTAATAATAAAAGAAACTAGACTTCAAGGATGTAAGATCCTGTCCAGTCTATATTCTTAACATTCTGATGAACTAAAATTGTTCTAAATGGGCACCTTATTTTTCAAAAATGGATGCCATAAAGTGGAATTCAGGAGATGTGTTGGGGGAGGGAAGCAACATTGGGCATTATTATATATTCATTCCTGAACAGGATTCAAACAAACCCTGTTTTGTTCTGAAGGTTCTCATCCTTGGCTACACATTGGACACTTGTTTTCCATGTCAGGTCCTTCACTTTTTTTTGTCATTGGTCATGGGGCTTAAACTCTGGGACTGAGAACTTTACCTCATCTCTTTAGTTCAAGGCTAGCACTCTACCACTTGAGTCCAGGCACCACTTCAGGTTTTCTAGTGGTTTATTGGAGATAAGAGTTTCATGGCTTTTCCTGCCCAGGCTGGCTTTGAACTGTGATGATCAGATCTCAGCCTCCTGAGTAGCTAGGATTATAGGCATGAGCCACTGGCACCCAGCTAGGTCCTTCACTTTTAAATGGTCTAGAATGTAGCCTGAACATTGACTTTTTTTGTTTTTTATTTTTCTTCTAGTCCTAGGGCTTACTCTCAGGGCTTGAACACTGTCCCTGAGCTTTTTTTTCCCCTCAAGGCTAGTGCTGTACCACTTGAGCCAAAGCTCCACTTGTGGCTTCTTCCCTTTCTTCCTTCCTTTCTGCCTTCCTTCCTTTTTTGTATGTAATTGGAGATAAGTCTTAAGAACTTTCCTGCCTGGGCTGCCTTTAAGCCATGATCCTCAGATCTCAGCCTCCTGAGTAGCTAGGATTACAGGCGTGAGCCACCAGAGCTCCATTGAACATGGATTTTTAAAGGTCCTTTGAATGCTTTTAGTTGCAGTTGAGTTTATGACTTCCCTGATATAGCTCTTCTGCTACATGTGGCTATGTAAACTGAAATTTATAAATGAGTAAATGAAATAAAACTAGTTCTCTACAGAACATTTCAATAGTGGTAGTCCTATGTGGCTGATGGATACTGCAGTGCAAAGTGCTGATATAGGATGTTTCCATCAGTTCAGATGAGCATCCTGCTAACTCAGCTCTGGACTGGACCCCACAAGAGGATTAAATGAGGTCTTAAGGGATTTAAATGGAGCATCATTAAATAGGGCACATTAAAGTATGTGCCAAACTTGGAGCATAATACATCTGGAGGTGATTGTTAAAAGTGTGCTTATGTCTAGGAATTCATTTTATATTTTCCTGAATTATAACCAAGTCATTAGAAGCTATTGTTTCTTTAATTGCTCCATAACTCCTTGGATATATTGGCTGTTGGCACCAGGAGCTATCCAGCCACTTGAATGGAGATCTCTCTCTCTCTCTCTCTCTCTCTCATACATACATACATACATTATATATATATATATATATATGTACATGCACCACACAAACACTCAAGAATATTTAGTGCTGCTTTCTCTCTCACTCACTTGAATTGAATATGAAAGCATAAATCTCAAACTCAGTCAGTGAATCCATTAATCACTGGCTCAGCCATTTATTAGCAGTTGTGGATTCTCCCTAGTTGGTTGGTGTCCTAGAATATGTTAAAATAATCTTGTAAAAATGGTTGAGCATTGAGCTCTATTTTGCTCTGTCTTTTTATGTCATAGTGTTGTTACCGTCAGTGATATTGATATAACATTGTTATAAAGAAGAAATGATGCTAGAATCTTAAGGATGATATTCAAAATCTTTTCTCTTTGGTATTGAAAGGATCCATCATTTCATAGTCAGCAAGAACTGGATAGATAGTTGACTGAGACAGAAATGGAGATAAGAAGAATCCTACAATTATGCAAAGAAAGCATGGAAGTTTGGTTTTACATTCTCCCTGTGGGGAAAACTATTAATTCCTAATGCTCCCTTCTACAAGGTACATGGTTTTCTTGGTATTTGAACATTCAGACAGCTGTGTTTTCTAGTTGGTGAAAAGCAGATATAGCAAAATACTGAGCAGCACAGAGAAATTCTGTTAGCCTGAGTTATTTAAGTTGTTCTAAAGCTATTTAAATTGTCCAACTAGCAATGGCTCATAGATAAATATGCCTACATGAATGCATATGCCACAAATCAAACAGATCAAACATAATGACACAAGTGAACAGCTGTCCGCAGCTGTAGAATATAGTCATACGTACATGTCAAGACTTCAGAAAAACTCATGGTATCCATCAAAAATACTTATTGTGAATGAGTTTCACTTGGAGGAGGGATGGAAAGAAATATAAAACATTGGAGTTATTCACTGATGCTTGATAATTAGAGCTGATGGCTTCAAGATAGGATGAGTCATTCCACCTCCATTGCTGTTAAATGAAGCAAAGACAAACACTAGGGCAAAGAGAAACAGGAAGGGTTTGCCTTGCAACATTGTCTTTCTCTATTTCTGTGACAGGGTACCAAGTAAACTTTCTGGCCAATGCACAGTTCCTAATTATACTGCTAAATTGCTCAGTTATAAATTCATAGACATATCTAATGTGCCCAAGAATAAAAGCACTTGTAGTGCTGATTTCCAAGTACCTCTTTGTGAAACATGGCTGGTCCACCTTGCCTTTACACTTCCATTCTTATTTCCCTTAACTCCACTCAGAGACTCAATTCATAAACACAGTGTGATTCCCACTACCCCCTCTCTACATTTATGGGAAACTAAAATAATATCTCTCTTCATTATAGGGCTACCTTTCTAGGCAGCCTTTTACATACATCTCCTTTTCTCTCAGTGCCTTAGGCAATGGCCAGAAAGCCCCACTGGACAGCAGGCTAGCATCCTCTGTGGAATGTGCAAACCATGCCTGCAATTGTTCCCCCCCCCAACACTAGCTCAGTGTCTCTGGGCATTTCAGCAGTTGTTCAGAAGGCTCAGGGTGTTTATCTTCCCAAAGCAGCTGAACTGCCTCCTGTTTCATGAGCAGAGGAGTGGAATGCAGTGGAAGAGACCCAGGCCACTAGCCACCCAGATTAGAGAGTTTTGTGCTGAGGTCCCTATATGGTTGTGTAAGACTGAACAACCAGCTCTAGTCTGTCTTTGCTCCTTGTTTGGGAAGCAAGTGGGAGGGGAGCAGGCCAAGGAGCTATATAACCCTTCAGCACTCAGCTTCCCAAAACGCCACCCACCCAGAGGGGAAAAGCCCAGCCAAGCACCATCAGGGTAAGTGGCTCCAGCCCAGGAATGTGACTGAGAGATGGCAGAGGCTTTCTCTCTCTCTCTCTCTTTCCTCCCTTCCTCCCTTTTTCTTTCTTTCTTTCTTTCTTTCCTTCCTTCCTTCCTTCCTTCTTTCCTTTCTTCCTTTCTCCTTCCTTCCTTTCTTTCTTTCCTCTCTGTCTCTCAACCCAATTTTAATGAGATACTCTCTGCAAGGATCTGAGGAACTCATATAGTCCAGTTCCTCTGAATAAAGAGTGAACTTTTAAAATTATTGTTGATTTTTGTTGTTGTTAAGGATTAAAGACAAAAGTGCAGTTTGTGTTAGTAGAGGAAGTGAAGAGGGAGATGGAATGAATATGTACTCATGCATGTCACCCTTAAAATATCTGTCCATATTAAATCAGTAGCCTAGATCCTGTGGGATGAAGTCTACCTCTTTACAGTAAGTTTTATAGTTACTTTTATGCACTGGAAACTCTGGGACTTGCCTGTGATTCAGAGTTTGTGTGGGGAATTTTGAGTAGACTGTATTTGTGGTACAGTTGCTGTGACTGAAAGTATGTGTTCAAAATGAAAAGAGGGCATTGGCAAAGTGGTTCAATTTTGTGTTGCTGAACTTGCATGTTGCTTTGGGTTCAGTCCCCTGCCTTTTGCAGGTTTCCTGTGTTGAAGATGTGCATTCCTTGAGGGCACCTTGAGCTCATTAGTTAGGGTTAACATCATTGGCTGTTTGCAGCAGTGCACAGCAGGCAATTACCATCAGCTTTTCTTCTTTATTTTCTCTCCAAAGAAGTGGGCAGAGGCAGAGCTTGCATCTGATTGTGTGTGTGTGTGTGTGTGTGTGTGTGTGTGTGTGTGTGTGTGTGTGTGTGAAGCAGGGAGGTCTGGTTTGCATTTTCTCAGCCTCAGGTTTCCCTCAGCCTTGTGATTGGAGTGTCACAGAGCAGCCAGCCCTGTCACCCCAGCCTGAACTTTGCTATAACTCAGGGCTTGGCCACTTGAACTGAGACTGGAGTTTTCTTGCTGAGATTTTTTTTCTTGTATCTTGTGATTCATGCCTAAATATGGTTTGTGTTTCAAGATGAACGAACACCATCCTTTCCCCCTCCCTCCCACTAACAACTCATTTTCTTGGCACAAGATGTGCTCTACTTGGCTGAAGCAAACCCTCTGACCTGGGTGCAGATCCAAGAGCAGACGCTGGAGCAAGCTTGTTTTACCTAATTAGGAAATGCTTCGCTCCAAATCAAGTGCTTATTCAGGTTAGATAAGGGTTGTAAACTACTGAACCAGCTTCCTCTTTAGACACACAGAGAATGTAATGATATGTTCCCTTTAGAGATTATACAGTTTTTTCTGGACAATTTTCTTTGCTATATATACAAATTCATTCACATAATATAGATTATATTCACATAATATATTATACATATGTATACATTATACTGTATATATGTGTATATTTTATGTATTATATGTGTATATGTAATATGTGTGTATGTTATGCATAAATTTTGATATATGAATTAAAATATATTATGTATGTGTACACATATATGTATATATGTATATACACATGTGTATATGTTTGTATGTGTATATATGTGTATATGGGTATAGGTGTGTGTATATACATAGTGTATGTGAACATTCACATACAATATATGTATATACGTATGTGTATATTATGTGTATATACATATATTGTATGTGAATATTTACATACACTATGTGTATATACATATACCTATATATGTATATTTGTATAAAATATATATGTACATATAATGTATATATGAATATTGAGATATTTTTCTTCATTTTTACTAATGATGGTGTTTAGTCTATATTTCTAAATATATTCAAATACTGATCCACATCCACCCTGAAGAATAAAATAGATTGTTTGGGACATTCCTTTCTACTTTCTATGCGTTTTCAGCCTTTGCTCTCAGTTTGAAGAGTATCCTCAGTACAGGTGCAGCCTGGGTCCTGGGTCCTTGGTGTCGTTGTCTTTGACAAACACCTGAACACTGCTGTGTCTTCTGTTGTGTCTCCAGGTGGTTATCTTTTGTCTTCCAACTCTTTGTAATCTGCTATAATAATCTTCTAAGAAGGAAGTTGAGCATAAAATAATGTCTAGAATAAAAGTAGAATAAAAGAGAAAAGGAAAGGACGAGTCATTGACAAGTCCCATTTTCCCATTCTTGCAAGTAGAATCCACACATTGAAAATTGTCCATCTAATTTTAGAGCAGTGTGTAAAGAAAGCAAGAATTTGATGTGAAAAAAATCTGGATTGTATTGATAGCTATATAATGCCATTAATAACAATGATGAAAATCATTTTCATTGAGGACTTATACATATATGCCACTGTGAATAAGTTTAAATGCATTTCCAAAAACAACACCCTCCCACCCTAGAATTCTATGTGGTATGTGTTGCTATTATTATTGCTTAATAGTAAAATGGATTGTGACTAAGAGAAGTTGAATAACTTGATAAATCATAGCTTCTAATTGGTGGAGCCAGTTCCCTCCCAGGACACACAGTAACTTTATTTCTTTTTTTGGTCGTTCATGGGGCTTGAACTCTGGGCCTGGGCACTGCCCCTGAGCTCTTCAGCCCAAGGCTAGTGCTCTACCACTTGAGACACAGTGCCACTTCCTGTTTTCTAGTAGTTTATTGGAGGTAAAAGTCTCATAGACTTTCTTGCCCAGGCTGACTTTGAACCATGATCCCCAGATCTCAGCCTCTTGAGTAGCTAGGTGTGAGCCACCACCAATGCCCAGCTAGTGACTTTTAAAATAAATAATACTTTGTCATCCATTGTCCTAAATGTACCAGTGGGGATATTGGATAGATGACTTGAATTTTCCTAAGTTTGGTTTTTGTTTTATGAGTTAAGAGATAGTATTTCATGACCTGATCATACAATATGTTATCTCAACTTAGATTGATGTTATTTGTAAATGGCCAGGCAAGAGGAATCCCTTTGCAAAATGCTCTCTGCTCTGAAGGTTCTGGGCATTTGGGATATTCAACCTTGATTTTGTGGGAATGGTCTGATAAAACTCCAATTGTGAGAGCTGTTTTCTTTTCCCATTTCTTAGAGATTTCCTTCCAATAACTTCCTTTCCTACCTAGGTCTGGTAATTAGATTACCAATTTAAGAGAAGTCTGGTTTGGGGCTGGGACTTAGTAATGGAGCACTTGCCTAACATGTGCAAGACATTGGATTAGATCCTCAGCATTGAAAAAGCAAAATAATCTTGCTCAGCCTGAAATCTTGACTGAGATGTCAATGTTATCAATGCTAACCAAAGAACAATGAACATCCCTTTCTTTACAGAACACTTCTAATTCAGTTTGGAAAAATGGGAAGGATCCTGGATTAAGAGCCCCAGGAGAGCAAGGGCCACCCAATCTCTAGTTGTTCTGACTCTAGTTCTGATTCCAATATCTCCTGTGCTCTTGAAAATTATTTCTCCTAGAATTTCTTTTTTGTAAAAAGTGAGAGCATTGAATAGAAATGCCCTCTGATTAGGAGCCTTCAGTACTTCTGCATCAGCCTTTCCAATTTTATCAAGGAATCCAATCTTAAAAAGGGATTATAAAAATACTGTTTCATAATCAAAAGAGTATATACTCAACTAAAAAATGTGACAGAATCAGGGAAGAAAATTAAAAATACTGGCACTTCAAAATAATTCAAGTAAAATATTTGGTAAATAGAACAACTCTTTTTGCATAAACAAATGATTTTATTGGATCACACAATAGTGCAATCTTGAATCTGCTATTCTTATATAAGAATATGTTGTTAGTGGATCCTTTTTACTTCTATTTCTTTCTTTTTAGGGGGGGAGTCAGTTGGGGGGTTTGAACTCACTGTCCCTCAGCTCTTCAGCTCAAGGCTAGCACTCTACCACTTGAGACACAGCACCACTTCCAGTTTTCTGGTGGTTTTATTGAGATAAGAATCTCATGGTCTTTCCTGCCTTGGCTGGCTTTGAACCGCAATCCTCAGAGCTCAGCCTCCTGAGTAGCTAGGATTGCAGGTGTGAGCCATAAGTGCCTGGCTTTTACTTCTATTTCTTAATAACAGAAATTTTCTACTACATGATATGCAATTCATCAAACACACACACACACACACACACACACTTGAAATTTGGAATTGCAACTTAACAGTGACTTTTGTTGGTGAAGAATAATCATAGCCTCTAAACTTTCAAGCACTTTCTTAAAAAGTATTGATTCCAATCGTTTAAATAAGGATACAGGTGGACCTGTTGCAATAATGAGATGTACAAGTCGTTATGTGGAAAACGAACTTTACAACTTTGGTGGGGGGGGGGCCGGGAGGATTGGGAGGGGGGTCGGGGGGAGGATGGGAAGGGGAAACAAAGTAGGAGGCTACAATGCTTGATAAGAAATGCACTCATTATCTTGCCCATGTAATTGTAACCCCTCTGTACAGTATTTTCACAATAAAAAATAAATAAAAATTAAAAAAAGTATTGATTCCATTTAATATTTGTCTGAGTATTAAAGTCCAAAGATGTTTATTAAACACTTAAACATTTAAAAAATATCCAAAAGTTCTCAAAATCTACCTAAAACACATGAAAAGTTATAATACATATGAAAAAATATGAGCTTGGGTGGACACCTTGTGAAAATTCTAGAAACTTACTGAACATATAGTGAATGACTTGTCCCTGTGAGTGGCTGGTCTTAAAGTCTGGAATTTTCATCAGTGCTCTGCAGTCTAATGATTCATTTGTTCAGCTTATCTTTAAAGTGCTGGTAAGAACCTGTGCTATATAATAATAGTATGGTATTAACACAGAGGCCAAAGTTCAGCTTTATTAAAAGCTTACATCATAATCAAAGTACTTCAAGATAAAGGTGATGTTAAATAAGTGTCAGTCAGGGGAATGACACCTGTTAAGAGATGCCCCAAATACTGAAGGGGCAGTAATCAACTTAGTAAGTGCTTGACATCTGGGCTGCTTCTCATTTTCTCTAGAAACCCGGTAAGCAGCTCCAGCCATGTGTGAAGAAGAGGACAGCACTGCCCTGGTGTGTGACAACGGCTCTGGGCTTTGTAAGGCTGGCTTTGCTGGGGATGATGCTCCCAGGGCTGTTTTCCCATCCATTGTGGGACGTCCCAGACATCAGGTGAGCAACACTTGGATGGGAAAGAGAGAGAACAAGGCTATTGGTTAGATCTCTCTATGTCCTAGTGTGAGTTGTCTTTGCCAGATCTTATGTAACTGTTTTAAACATATAGCTGTGAGCTACTAGAGTGTAGCTTAGTGTAGAGTATTTGCCTGGCCTGTGCAAGGTTTGATGACCATCAAGGCAAATTCCAAAAAGTAACTTCACTTATATGCTGATTATTTGGTGGGCAACTACCAGGTATAAAATCTGTCCCATTTTGTATATCCTTTTTTGTCTAAGTATCATCATTGTCATAATATCATAACAAATGTTAACTGTATGTCAGGTTAGTTGTCAGCAAAATATATCTGGAGAGCCTCTTGGTAAGTTTGTATATTGTATATAAACAAAATATTGGCGGTAGCCAGTGGCAAAAGCTAAATTCTAAAGCAGTGATTCTAAGGCAATTTAAAATCTAGTAAAGAGAATGTTTTAAGCTTCATTTTAATGACTAAAAGATGGATCTGACTAGCTTAGACAAATGTTTTAGCAATTGATCTCCATGTATTTATCCTGTAGTCATCAAATATCAAATATTTGTAGCTGTAATGCTTATGGTAGGCAAACAATACTTAAATTCTTTTTTGAGTAAGTAATAACTTTAAAAGTATGATGTAAGCTGGATGCCTTTGGTAATACCTGTAATCCTAGCTACTCAGGAGACTAAGAGCTAAGGATCATGGTTTGGACCCCACCTGGGCAAAATCCAGGAGATTGCTATCTATAACTAAACAGGAAAATGCCAGAAGTAGAGAGATGGCCCAAGTAATGGTAAAGTGAAGCTTTGAGTGGACAAAGCTAAGCAAGAGTGAAGGACCAGTATCAACATATTACACACACAACAGTATGATTGAAAAGATTTACAAGAGGCAAAAATGCCATTTAATGAATATGTAAATTTTATTACTTCCTCTCAACAAGTGATGATTATGTAGCAGACATGTGCATTACAGCTTACTATAGCTGTGAGTCGATAGACACAATCTCTTCCCTAAACAGGGCTCATCAACTAATATAAAAGACAAAAAGACACAATGTAAGCCTGCTTCTCTCACACAATCCTTGATTATTTGGAGGCTGGTTTAGGTCTAGTTCCAACTAGCTGAGGGACATCAATTAAGACTGTAGTCATAGTAGGACTCATATTATTGCTGGTACTAAAAGAGGAAGTTTATCTCACTGATGTAAGTCTGTTGTGATTTGGTTGCAAGCAATGCATACAGTTTGGAGAAGCCTGACTTGTAATATGTTGAACCATTTTAGGGGGTGATGGTAGGAATGGGACAAAAAGACAGTTACGTGGGTGATGAAGCTCAGAGCAAAAGAGGAATCCTGACCTTGAAGTACCCGATAGAGCACGGTATCATCACCAACTGGGACGACATGGAGAAGGTACCAGGACACAGCTGCATTCTCAGAATGCATCATTCCAATGTCCCCTGACTCTAAATAACATGCTATGGCCGGAGAAAATAACTGACTCCCATTGCTCAATTGCACTTTTAGGTTTTGACATTTGTTCTAGATCATCTAGGTCAGCTGAATTTGTGCATTTGTGTCTGCATGTTTGTCTTTGCTCATACTAAATCAAAATACCTTACCATAGATTATTAACTAAAATGGGAGAGGAGGGTGTAAGAAAGGCATACACAGCTGCATGATAGCATTTATTCTGTACTAGACACTGGGCTGACTAGTTACTCTAAGGGTCATAGTATTTAATTCACAAAGAGCCAATGAGGTAAACACTAATTATTTACACTTCCATATTACTCCTTTAGAGCTGAAAAACCTGCTTAGTGGCCAAGCTGAGGTTTTCATCCTCATTTGACTGCAGAGCCTGTGTCTTTGACTCTACATACAGCCCTGGGTTTGAATGTGAATCCCATGGAAGGCATTCACGCTCTCTGAGCTTCTGTCTTTGCACCTGTGCAAGTACTGGCACAGGAGAGCTGGGAACATTTCACTTGGTCCTGGTTTTGTTTGTCTCATTTTTATCCCTTTTTGGGATCTTGGTGCCCTGCAACATCACATTATTGTTTCTCTTCTTTCCTCTGTGCTAGATCTGGCACCATTCCTTCTACAATGAGCTCCGTGTTGCCCCTGAAGAGCATCCAACTCTGCTCACCGAGGCACCCCTGAACCCCAAGGCCAACCGGGAGAAAATGACCCAGGTGAATATGTACATCCAGCATCCATCAAGTCTAGAACAAAGCCACACAGAAAAGCAGAAAGAAGGTCCCAAACCACAGTCCAGCCATAGACTGCTTCCTAGCAATTCTGGAAGCCCACATTAATGATACATTCTTATTGCAAACACAGACTTTTTACCCTCAAGAGCTAAGAGCTCATCTAGCCACAACTTTCCTGTAACTATTGTTGGGAGATCTGGAATACAATCCAACATCAGTCAACTGTGAGTTCAATATAATTCTGCCAGGTCAATTTCAAGTTAGGGCAGAAGTTATAGTTTCCTTACTTGAAGCCATGTGCACACGACCTCCTCCCCTCCCCATCCCGCCACTGAGATGGTCTCATCTTCCTGCTTTTGTCCTTTGTGAGTGACCAGGGCTGCCTTGGCCCTGCCTTTGTTGTCCTCTGGCCACTGCCGGGCAGGCCTGTCTGGATCTGTCAAGGAAGTGTGCTCTCTTGTACATTCCCAATCACTCACTTGGCTCTTTGGATTGCTTTGCAGATCATGTTTGAGACCTTCAACGTCCCAGCCATGTATGTGGCTATTCAGGCAGTGCTGTCCCTCTATGCTTCTGGACGTACAACTGGTAGGTGACTAGAAGAAATGAGCACTGCGATTAAATTAATATGCTCCAATGGGTGGGATTTTCTGGTTATAAATACATGCCCTGTAGTGACAAGGTGTGAATTAGAATTGGCAGGGCTGACTCAAGCCATAAAAGACTTCATCTTTTCGAGTCTCGGACCTCTTCTTTCTAGCCAGACATTAACAAAAATTGTTACCCTCTTCTTGGTGTTCCTTTGTCCAGCTTTCCCAAGCCCTGGCCTACTTTACCTCTTCCATCAAAGTCCTTCTTTGCTTCCTTCAAATAAGAAGCTTAGGAATTCCCTCTTTCCCAAGGCTTTCTTCTACTTGACCAGCAGGCCAGCCACTGTGGTGATGCCATTAGTGCTCACTTGTCTTCCAGGCATTGTGCTGGACTCTGGAGATGGTGTGACCCACAACGTGCCCATCTATGAAGGCTATGCCCTGCCCCATGCTATCATGCGTCTGGACCTGGCTGGCCGAGACCTCACTGACTACCTCATGAAGATCCTGACTGAGCGTGGCTACTCCTTCGTGACTACTGGTGAGGCATGTGGGAGACACAAGGAACAGGGGGAAGGACCGAGTGTTGCTCATAGCAACTTGTAGGTCCACTGTGGCTATGCCAGGAAATGATGGGATGGACAGTTGCCAATGGGAAGGCCTCAGTCTAAAGCACATGGCAAAGCTCAGACATTTTTGCTGTGCTAATTATACTGATAGCACTGATTACACTGTTTCCTCTCAGTTCTCGGAGGTGGTTTTAGTTGTTAGTGTTGTTTTTTTGTGTAGCTGGGCATGAGATCCTTGGTTTCTGTGTGCTAGGCAAGTATTTTACCATTGAGCTGGACTTTCATCCCTGCTTGAAATCATGCATTAATCTCTCACACTAGAAAATGGAGAAAAAACATGTAGTCTGAAAATCAATAGGTGTGGTGTCTGGTAAGCTTCCTAGATCTCTCAATAGACTTGAGTCCTAACTTTCTACCCACTTGCAGAGCCAATACATTCTCTATATCTGTAAAATGGAGATAATCATAAATTTCATCTCCCAGAACTCTACTGACTATAAAACAAGATAACACAAGGAGAATATCCTGCCTAGAGTAAGTATTCAATGATTGGTAGCTAATATTAATAATATAGACCCACGAGGCAGTGATGATATATTTTTAATTGAAGATGTTGTCATACTCTCATTCTCCATAAGAGAACAGAGCCAGACATTACCAGAAACAGTTGGAACAGTTGGATCTCCAAGCTATCTGCGGTTCTGGCTACTGGGATAATCTCATGAACTTGGCATTGTCTAGAATTGTGGTTTCTGGACATTCCTGAGACTTTTTCTAAACTCCTTGTATGAGCCTTGATTTTAAGCTCTCTTTCTCTCCCCCACTCTCATGTTTTCTGTCAGTTATAGGGCTTGAACCCAGAGTCTGGATGCTGTCCCTGAGCTTTTTAACTCAGTCTAGTGCTCTACCACTTTGAGCCACAGTGCCACTTCTGGTTTTTGAGTGGTTAATTGGAGATAAGAGTTTCACAGGGACTTTTCTGCCTGGACTAGTTTTGAACTGTGGGATCCTCAGATCTCAGCCTCCCGAGTAGCTAGGATTACAGGCATGAGCCACTAGCACACAGCTTTTAAGGTCTCTTTTTGTGGTATGGAGTTGAATTAATACATTCCTGCTTACAAAACACCTCCCAAAAATTCCCAGAAGCTCAGTAGCTTAGACCTTCATGGTGTAAGAGTCTCCAGAGTGTATGCCTGCCTGCCTCTTCTATATTGCCTTCCAGACTGCACTAATGGAGCCTTTTGGACAAGGACTAGTCCTGAGTCAGTTCCTACCTTTTTCTGGAAAGCATTGGGTGTGCTGAAGGTTTGAGCTGCCATCTACCTAAGCCAGGCAGCAAGGGCCCTGAGGAGCTGAGTCTGCATGAGCGGGAGGAGGAAGGCAGATCATTAGTATCTGTGTAAGCCCTGGCATGTCCCATAATGTTTGTATGTATTTAACAGCTGAGCGTGAGATTGTCCGGGACATTAAGGAGAAGCTGTGTTATGTTGCTCTGGACTTTGAAAACGAGATGGCCACAGCTGCTTCCTCCTCTTCCCTGGAGAAGAGCTACGAGCTGCCAGATGGGCAGGTGATCACCATTGGGAATGAGCGCTTCCGCTGCCCAGAGACCCTCTTCCAGCCATCCTTCATCGGTAAGCAATGGAGTAGGAAGGCATTCACCCAAATCTCCTGTGTCAGCCCAGACCTAGGGCTGCCAGGGACCTTCTGCTCATGAAACCTGTGTTAGAGGCCACAAGACCAAAAGCATTTCTGAGCCAAGGAAAGGGGAAGTGTCATACCTTTTTCAAGGTAAGAGTTTAAAAGGTCAGAAAAAGAGATTTTTGGGAAGGGATGGAAAGGGGAAACAAAGAGGAGGCAGCAATGCTTGATAAGAAATGTACCCGTTATCTTGCCCATGTAATTGTAACTCATCTGTACGGTACTCTCACAATAAAAAAAAAAAGAGAGATTTTTAAAAAATACTCTCTCAATGTGTTGTAGTCAGGCCCAAAGAATCTGGAAAATACTGTCTGTGCTTAGAACAGAAAAACAATGGGGTTTGCAGAAATGTTTACAAAGAAGCTCTTGAAGGTAGTGTTGGGTTTGAAACTTCATTCTTTCACAGCCTTAGGAAAAGCACTTAACCTCAATTTCCTTATGTATAACATGAAGATTATAATAGTAGCAATGCAATAGGATGGCCAGGAGAATCACAGAAGACCTATGGAGAGGCCTTACTTAGCCCAGTGCCTAGCAAAAACAAAATTCAATAACTCAATATTGTAAGAAATGAACATCTAGGTGGTAGCATTATAATTACATTAGCTCATGACATGGCAAAAGATGAAGGGTAAGTAGAGAAATTAACAAAATTAACAAAAAGTCAGATAAAAACATTATCGAAACTAAAGAAGAAGGAGGAGGAAGACAAGGCGAAAGAGAAGGAGAAGGAAAAAAAGAGGAGGAAGAAAAAGAGAGGAGCAGGAAGAGGAAGAGGAGAAGGAGCAGGAGGAGGAGGGGGAGAAAAAGAAGGGGAAGAAAGAAGGAAGAGAAGAGGAAAGAGAAGAAGTAGGAGGAGAAGGATGAAGAGAAGGGGGAAGAAGAGAAGGAGAAGGAAGAAGAGATCGAAGAAGAGGAGGAGGAGGAGGAGGTGAAAAAGGAGGAGGAGGAGTTGGTGAAAGGGGAAGAGGAGGAGGGGGAAGAGGAGGAGGGGGAGGGGAAGGAGGAGGAGGAAGAGGAGGAGGAGGGGAGGAAGAAGAAGAAGAAGAAAACTATTGCTTTATTCAGGCAGGCTGAAATGTGCAACTGGGAGTGCAAAGGCATCAGCCACGGAAAATGACAGAATGCTTTGGATATTTAGGTAGGAGAAAGGGAAAGAACAACAATGGGATTTGAACTCAAGGCCAGCACTTGCTAGGCAAGGGCTCTAACACATAATCCATGCTGCCAGCCATTCTTACTGTTTTCCAGATAGGGTCTTGCACTTTTTGCTCAGGGCTGGTCTCCCAATGACATCCACCTACCTCTAAAATTATGGGCATGCACCACCACATTCAACTTGTGTTTTGAGATAAGGTCTTCCTGGCTTTCTTTGGGCCTGGATGGTCAGAAGTCCTCCTTGTCTCTGTATCCCCTGGATCTGGGATTTTAAGTGTGTTCGATTATGCTCCGCCTGAAATGAAAGTTCTGAACAATGGTGGTGACACTGGCCGAGTGTGGCACCTTCCAGAAGGAATCTGAAGGTTTTGCTTATAATGAACTGTACACATCCCAGTGTTGCTGAATAGAAAATCAATTCTAGAAGAGTCCATCCTGAAGATGCTGCAGCCTGGCCTCCTGAGGTTGTGAAGCAGGAAGAAATGGGGAATGGGTGATCTCTCGGTGATTGAGCCTGCCAGGCTTCATCCGTGTAAGATCTTCAGTCTGGTTGATCATGTTGAACCTGAGTTTGACCCACCATCCATGGCCCTTGTCTCTTTTCCAGGAATGGAGTCAGCTGGTATCCATGAAACCACCTACAACAGTATCATGAAGTGTGATATTGATATCAGGAAGGACCTCTATGCTAACAATGTACTCTCAGGGGGTACCACCATGTACCCAGGCATTGCTGACCGGATGCAGAAGGAGATCACAGCCCTGGCGCCCAGCACCATGAAGATAAAGGTACTGTGTAGTGATATGCTCTAGGGTTGTGCCTTTAACAAGATGTTGGCCCTTTAACAAGATTTGCAGGATGGTTCTGAGGCTATATCATGGCCATGGACAATTGTGGGTTCTAGGGCTAGCAAAAAGAATCCACATGTCCCATACTTTATATAATTCAGTTTGGTACACAAAAGGATTTTCATTATCTAGACAGACTTGACCTATTCTCACCTAATAGTATATCTCAAGGCCTAGGTGGCTCAAGTGGTAGAGTACCTGCCTAGCAAACACAAAGCCTTGAGTTCCAACTCCTGTACCACACAAAAATGTGAAAGGATAGTATGTTTCTGCTAGGCACCAGTGGCTCATGCCTGTAATCTCAGCTACTCTGGAGACTGAGATCTGAGGATCATGGTTTGAAGCCAGCCCTGGCAGAAATGTCCCCATGAGACTTATCTCCAATTAACCACTCAAAAACCAGAAGTGTTGCTGTGACTCAAGTGGTAAAGTACTAGCCATGAACACAAAGAGGCTCAAGGACAGTCCTCAGGCCCTCAGTTTAAGCCCCACAACCACCACCACCAACAAATAACAGTATGTTTTACATGTAGAACATGGCAAAATATAGAACACAATGTACACATTTACATTTTATTTGTACACATATATGCTCATGTATATATTATTCATTTTTTACATTGAAAGGCTGGATTGAAAGGACAGTAAGATTGGGCTTTAGAAAGGACATAAATTATATAAGGTATCAAGAGTAGTTGAAATGGAAGGATATGAAGGAACAGCAATGTAGGTTGGACGAGTGGAGCCTTGTGTGAGGATGTCAATTGTTCACATTTTCAAGGACTTTGATCCTGTCTTAAAAATCTTAAATGCTGTAGACTTAGTAATTGGCTTTCTTTCTCTGCTAAATGTAATCCTGATCCCATCTCAGTGGTCAGGAATTAGAATTCTTTCTTCATGTCTGTATCTGGCATTCATTTTTAATATAGCTGCACAAAAGCACAGACTGATTCCTGCGTGGCCAGGCTTAGTTCCTGAGCACCCCTCCCCTCCCCCATACACACACCAGGCTTTCACATGGTGTACATTTTGCATTCAATGGAGACCGTTCTTTTGGAGGGTGTTTATGTGTGGTCGATGACTGTGCCGTTCACACACAGAAGCAGCAGTCAGACAAGACCTCTTTTACTTATGCTCCCTTCTCCTTTATGCAAACAATGCACTAGACTTAAACACACATAAATGATCTTTCTGAGTAACCATACTGGAGGGAGGAGATAAAGCCAGCCATTCAGCATACAACACAGCCAACCTAGTTGAGGATTTAGACTAGAGAGGAGCCCTGAACAGAACTGAGCAATTCCTAGTTTTCTAAACTCCCCTTTGTGAGTAACATGAGTATGAATCTCAGTCCCAGGGTGGTGAAAGAGCATGGAGAATCATTAAAACCTAGGGCCTGGTTGGATGACACATTGGAGAAAATGAAACTGGGCGAAATATCTCCGGGAACTCCCTGTGACTCTTTGCAAGTTTTGTAGAAATCTAAAATTATCCTCTTCCCTCCTCCTCCCCCACCAAAAACACCCCATAAATTTTCTTTCTAAAACAAAACATCCAGGAGGACCCAGGTTTGTACACTCAGCCTGACACACATGCGGCCAGTATATAACTCATACTTACATTTGTCTCAGCTGTGTTTCTAAATAGGTAACATGGAAGCTATTTAATACTTACTGCTAGAGGTGGTTATGAAAATACGTGATAACATACATGTGAAATGTTTTGTATAGGGCCTGGAACATAGCAAGAGCTATGCTAATGTCAGTGTGTCGTATTAAGGAAATGAAAACAAGTCTCACCAGAGCACTGGAGTAAACAGAAGGTCTTTAAGTCATGATTTCAGATACACTTTGTCCATTGCTACCCAAGATTTAAATACTGCAGATGTACAAGACTTCTGGTCATGCCCTCTGGTCTCTGTGCCTGAGCCATACATCTACCAAAGAAGCCTGAGCATGCCCCTTGTGCCATGCTTATGTACCTGTGCATAAGGCCTGCCAGAGTACCTTGATGTGACCCATATAAGGGGACTGTCCATCCCTGAGTCCCTCAGTGACAGAAAATGCATAGAGGTGGAGGTTCAGAGAGTAGCAATCACCTTGCCCAGATGCAGGAACACTGGCATAATATGTCCTGCCATAATAAAAGCTTCTCTGAAATGCTAGAGCTTGCTTCCACAGCAAGTGTGCATCACGCTGAGCTCTGGGGCCCAGCTCATAGAATCGGATGCTTTGTCTGGCCCCTTTAGAGGAAGCCACCATAGCACTGGGAACCACCTTTGGTTTGCTCAATAGTATGGTAGAGGAGTTAGGAAAAATCTTTGGAAGATCATTCAGGACATCAGAAAACCAAAGGTGAGGAATCTCTAAACTCATTTTCTTGGCTGTATCTTGTCATCTCACAGCCATGGGAGTCCCTACTATATAATAGACTACAGCCAAGTCTGAGAAATGTGTGCCTTGGTACAGTACTCAAGCCTTACTGCCCTGTCACTTATGACCTGTTTTTTTTCTGTCCTGACCCATAGATCATTGCCCCTCCGGAGCGCAAGTACTCAGTGTGGATTGGAGGTTCCATTCTGGCCTCTCTGTCCACCTTCCAGCAAATGTGGATCAGCAAGCAGGAGTACGATGAGGCTGGACCCTCCATTGTCCACCGCAAATGCTTCTAAGACACCTCCTTGCTCTCTGTCTTTAGCACACAACTGTGAATGTTTTTGTGCCTTCAGTCCTTCTCCAATCCATTCCTAGCCAAAGCTCAGCCTCATTACCTATGTATTTTTTAATAAATCTGAAATATGCTACTCCTAACTTGTGGCTTTTGGCTTCTCACATCAACATCTGGCGGATTACCTCTATTCTGTTGACCGGGGTTACAAGTTGGCTCCCTCTGGTGGTCCAACCAGGATGTAACACAATCAGGATGGCTGCCTTAAAAGACTTGGGCAAAAAATATGGTATTAGAGTAATAAGCATAGGCATGACTCCACTTAAATTTAGAATCAGCTCTTGTTCTTGCAAGTCAGTTTGTGGTTTCAGGTGGATGTTTCAGTCCATCTTCCCCCTTATGAACACACAGACCATTGCATTCAGAAGCAAGCAAGAATGCTCTAAAAGAATGACCATCGGTGATGCCTGTTGGTTGTTCTGTTTTCTATATGTTTCATCCTACCAGTCAAAAGATCTGACCATCCTTGATATAATCGAGTTCCCTTCCTAAACATGGTGCAACTGAACTTGACAAAGATCTGAGACAATTATCTTACACAAGAGGAGAATGTTGAGGGTGAGTGGGTGCTAGAAGCCGCAGACATCATCAACTCTTCTTTATTGCCAAAATTCCACTTTGAATTAATTAGTGATCTATTTCTAGGTCACAATAGGATGGCAAAAAAAACCTAGCTGGGCGATGGTGGCTTACTCCTGTAATCCTAGCTACTCTCAGGAGGCTAAAATCAGAAGATCACTGTTCGAAGCCAGCCAGGGCAGAAAGGTCCATGAGACTTGTACCCAGCTAACCAACAAAAAAAAAAAAAAAAACCAGGAGTGAAGCTGTCACTTATAGTGATAGAGCAGTAGCCTGGAGCAAAAGAGCTCAGGGACAGTGCCCAGGGTCCTGAGTTAAAGCGCCCCCCCCCCACCAGCAAACAATAACAACATCAAATAGAAGAAGAAATGTTGACACAGGTGTGGAGAAACTGTAGCACTCATACCTTGCTAATGGGGATGCAAAATGGTCGAGCTGCTGTAGAATTTATTCTTGAGACCCTGTCAAAAAGTTAACCATTAAATTATATGATCTAGCAACTGCAGTCCTCAGTATGTATAGATCTAAAAATAGCACTCAAACAACTACCTATGTAAGTGTGGTGGCACACATCTGTAATCTTAGCACTTGAGTGGCTGGGGCTGAAGGATCATGAGTTTGAGGCCTTCTAGAATTACACAGTGAGATCCTGTCTCAGAAACCAAGGCTAAGGATAGAACAGAAGGCCTTGGATTCTGATCTCTTGCACTGAAAAAAAAAACAGAAAAATAAGTACACGAATTCTATTATCTTCACTAAGTGCAGATTGTGAGTGGGCAAAACCTCCAAATGTGCACAAATGGATGAATAAATGTGATATATAAACACAATAGAACGTTAACCATAAGAAGAACTAAAATATTGATACAGATTATTTGGGAATAAACCTTCAAAAATTGTTACACTAGACAAAAAGCTCATATTTTGTATGATTTTATTTGTGTGAAATATCCAGGATAAATAAATCTATAGCAACAGAATGTAGGTTGATAACTGGCAGGGGCTAGGAAAGGGGTGGGAAATGGGGAGAAACTGCTGGATGGGTTTTTCTCTAGTCATGGAAATGCTTTGAAACTGAACAGAGAGAGTGAGTATACAAAGTTGTGAAGGTTCTACAAACTGCTGAATTCTACACTTTTTTGTAGTTCTATTTTTATCTTATTTTTTCAGAAATCACCATAATGGTATAATGGCTATCCTAATTTACATTACCACCAAGAGCATATGACACTTTCCTTTATTCTTCATCCTCCCCAGCTTTCTTATTTTGGTCTTTTTGATAAAGCCATTAAAATTAGGATAGGCTTGCCCAGGCCCTGAGTTCAAGTCCCATGACTGATAATAAAAAGTGAACTGTGCACTTTTTAAGTTAATCTGGCTGGGGATGTAGCCAGTGGTAGAGTAATTGCTAAGTGTATGTATAAAGCCTATCCTATAATTAGCAAATATGCTCTAGGAGTTTGTTTGATATTCTTTACATATCAGCTTTTGTATTACAAGCTTACATTTTAAATAACATGTAAAGGCCTTTTTTTCCTTTTTTTTTTTTTTGTTGTTGTTAACATGCTTTTCAGACTCAAGAATGTGAGTCAATCCATTCCTAGCCTTGTGATTCACCCAGAAAGAGGCAATTTGAATAAACAACTTCATTTTTTTTTTACTGTCAACTCTTATTTATCAAACACAGATATATAAGTGAACTTCCTTAATGGAAAAGAAGAAAAGATCTAATTATTTGCATTTGGTTTAAAAATATCTTGTGGTCTAGTTAGTGCCAAGAAATTTACTGCAAATAAACAAAGTCAATGGGCAATTCTTTTCCTTCTGCCAAGGTTCATCTCTCTCTTTTTTCCCTTCTTTTACCCTCTTCCTCTCCACACCTACCATCCCCAACTCTAACACCCCATAGTGAGTGATACATCTTGCATATAATAAACTTCTTTTAAAGTAATATATCCTCCCCTGGATTTTCTTCATCTTTTCTATTCCTCCAACCCTTTTTTAGTTATTCAAATGCATACACAGATTAAAAAAATTTTGTTAAATTTATTTGATTGTAAAAGTATTATGAAATTAAAAGCATAGCAATTACAAAACAGCATTGTTGATATAAAATTACGTTGATCTAGTTTTATAACATTAATTTCCAAAGTTTGTTTTTCCCTAAGTTGGCATTTCACAATAATGGGACTTAATCAATTGGTAGTTCTTTTTCAAAACTATGCTATTAATGAGTAATTGTTTATGTCAATGTGGTGTTGAAGTGTCATCAGATAGGCCCTTTAACACCACATCATAGAAAATATAATAATAACTATTCACCTACTCATGAATGATTATATTTAAAAGAAATATAAACATGAGATCTAAGGAAAATGCCATATGGCACTCCAAAGAGGTAAAAAATATAATGCCAGCAATGTAAATAATCTTGTTTTCACATAGACAAAGTAAAAGTTAAAGCAGGTGAAACTAATGTATTTATATATGTATTAATATATATATATATAAATGTATTAATATATCATCAGTTAAACAAAAGTACTATAAAAGCATTTTACATTTCCTTTTTGCTATAAATCTTCACAACACCACATGCTTTTTAAAAACATCTCCACAAATTTCTTTGTATACTTATCATACTGAAATTATTCACAAAATGAACATTTTTGTCATCATATTGGCAAAGAAAATAAAGTGTCTTTGGATTTTTTCAGCATTTACCACTGACTGTGCATCTATATTTAACTAAGTGAGGTCGTATCCGAACAACACAAGACAACTGTGTTTTATGGGGAAAATTAATATGTTGACATTTGCTTTATAACAGTCTGAATATTTCTGCCAGATTCTTCTGACATCAAAGTAAGCGAGAGCCAAAGAAACAGAGGTTGCGTGTTTTTCCTCATTTATGATAATTAGAATGTGCTTATAAATCTACAAGTGAACATATTAAATGGTAAATATGTATATGTTTATATATATGGACATGATAAATTATACAGGTTTCTAGGTATTTACACAGTGATAACAAAGGAGGATATTCATAGGAGTGGATTACAAAGTCTCAATAGCTATGTGCATATAATCATATTAAATAATATTTTTCTAAATGAACTCCCAAGAAATGGAAGGAAGAGATTTGTTGTGGTGGTGGTTTTCATTGTCTTTTTCTTGTTTGTAAGTTTGTCTTTGGGAGAGTAAGGGAGGAATACAGAAAAAAGTGAGACAAAGGGTGAACAAATACAGCATCAGTACTCACTAGACACTTTGTGTAAAGTGAACTATACAACATGTGAGTGGGGACTGGAGGGAAAAACTGAGAGTAAAGGAAGGGGGAACATGGTTCAATAAGAAATGTACTTATTGTAAATGACTTATGTAACTGTGACTCCTCTCTACATCACCTCTACAATAAAAATAACAAATTTAAAAAAAAAAGATGAAGAGAAAAGAAAGGAAATCCTAACCTTGGATATGGTGACATTTAGAAGGAAGGGCTTGAGCAGGTGATACAGTCCAGAGGATGTAGCCATTGTAATGAGATTAGTGACCTCCAAGGAAGGACATGCCATAATATCTCTCCTTTTCTGAGAGAACAAAGTAAGAAGTGTGCGTGTGTATGGGGTGGGGGTGGGGTTGCAAAGTACAAACCTGATCCCCAGAGTAGTGAACATGAATGTTTTGCTGTTTAGTTTATAATATTTTATAGTGGCCCCCAATCAGACATACCTTTTGATATATTTTTAAAAGATTTATTACTAACATATATTAGTTGTACAAGGAGTTTTATTGTGACATTCATGATTTTTTAACTGTCATTTTTGGACATGTGTTATGACCCTTTAAGAACTACTACCTTATGTCTCTCCCCAACCCCCAGTTGTTTCCAAAGAAAAGATATATTTGCTTCATGAAAAGTCAAGGGACAGGCAAGTTTTTTAATAAAGAAGAGTTCCTCGCATAATAGCTGTCTGCACAATAAATAATGAGAAAATTCTTCTAAGAAGAACAAAGCCTGAATGTTTACTTTTCTTCCTTAATCATTGCCAAATGTATGGCATTTCTCAAGCATCCTTTTCACAGAAGAATCTATCTTGCCAGAGAATTCTGTGAGGCTTGGGGTGATGTTCTCACAAGAGAACATCTGCTTGCCACATTTGGGACCACTTCAGCAGCAAGCTTCAACTAACGTCAATTGTTGCAACAACACAATCTTCAGTCCATTTATATGGCTGTTCATGAAACAAAATGAGTAAAAACTAATTTGAAGAGTTTGCCTCAAACACAACATCAACTTTCCATAAGCAAAAATCCTAATAAAAAGAAATTGAGAGTAAATTCAGTAGCTAAGGATAATGCACAAACCTTCTGCTCTGCTCTTGTATAATTTAGAAGGTCTGTGGAGAAAAGAATAATCTCTGCTGCACATAACAACAAAGAAAGCCACTTCCCATTAGTCTGTGATGAAAAGACGAGAAAATGAAAAAGAAAAGGAAAAAGA